AAACAGTACTTGCTGGGAGCGACCAGTAAGGTAAGAAAGAAACCAAGAAGTAGTAGCAAGAGAAAAGCCGTAGTAAGGCAGCTTAGCAATAAGAATAGTGTGGTCAATGGTGTCAAATGCTTTTTTAAGGTCAATGAAGAGAGTGCCTGTTAGTCTTTTATTGTTAGTATTAATAAGCCAGTTATTATATGTGCTGGTAAGTGCAGTTAGAGTCGAGTATTGAGGTCTGAAACCAGATTGCGAATTAGAAATCAGATTATTAGAATTAAGGTAAGAATATATTTGAGAAGAAACAGATTTTTCAATGATTTTAGAACAAAGCGGAAGAATTGAGATAGGACGGTAGTTGTTGAGGTCATTTTTCTTGCCCGATTTAAAAATAGGAATTACTTTAGAATTTTTCCAAGCAGAGGGAAAACAGTTAGTTTGGAAAGACAGATTAAAGATGAAAGTAAGATGAGGTGAAATGAGAGTGGCAGCGACCTTAAGAAGTTTACCATCAATCATATCAAGGCCAGTAGAGGTGGTAGGATTGATAGAATTCAAATCAGACAGGACAAATTCTTCGGCGACTGGCTCAATAGAGAATTGAGAAGAGCAAGGACTGAGAAATGAAGTAGGATCAGGGCAGTTAGAAGAGTCGATCTGCGAAGAGAGCAAAACAGCATTATTAGTGAAGAAGTGGTTAAAGGAGTTAGCGATAGTTTTAGAGTCGGAAACATCAGTACCATTAATAGAGAAAGAAGGAGGAAGAACATTAGACTTTTTAGAAGGAAGTAGATCTTTCAGGCCATTCCATATTTTCTTAGAGTTACCGCTATTATTATTTAGGTAGGACCTGTAATAATGACCTTTAGCGTGTCTACATAGTTTAGTTACTGTATTCCTCAGTTTGCGAAAGTTCATAAAATCCTTGGTGGTACTTTTGCAGTTTAACTGAGTAAATAAAATTTCAACGCAAAATCATTAAAGAATTCGAAAGTATTACTATTACGAAGTGGAATTGTACAAATCCTTTAATTCGACCAGGATTACATACTGTATAAATTAGTATATATTAAATCGCTTTATTCACTAAGTATAACAAACATAACAAATACAATATAAAGGATAGGATTGCAAATATTTAAGGCTTGACAAGACGAGGCAAAATCCAAGAAACTTAATATTGATATCAATGTTGATATTCAAATATTGGAATGCTTTTTAGCATGACATAGAACGAAGTGATTATCGCAAGTTTGGACATGGTATTAGGTCTAGTAACGCTACAAATGGCACTTCATTTCAGATATAGTTCATTTACTTTTCAAAATCTGTATTATAACTTTACTGAATTTATTAAAAAAAATATTGAGCCGGTATGTATGTTTGTTTGTATGTATGCATGTATGTGTGCGTATATGTGTTTATGTATGTTTGTTTATGTTTCAAAATATCTTTATTATTTCAATTTATCATATATATAAATTAGTGAACTGTGGGGGATAGGCAAATAACATTTGGCGTTAAAGTGATGACGTCACGATTGACTTATAAGATTTATTGGAATAAAAGTGCAAAAAATGTATCCTACTGGAAAACAGCCAATTAAATGACACATTCTTTGCTTTAAGATCTAACAGGATGTCACGTAATCCACAGATTGACATGAAAAAGAATATAGGCTATACCATCGTTCCGCAACCTATGGGTCGCGACCCAATGCTTGGGTCGTGGAAAACTTTTGATGGGTCGCATAACATTTTCATATCGTGAAAACCTTACTTAATACGAACGAGGACAAACGAAATTACAGTAAACGAAACTGG